CTTGACGTGTCTTTACGATTTTTCGATAAGAAAATAAAAAACAAAATCACAAAAATCTACAAAGTTGGGAAAGAGTTATGAGTCACCTGACAAGATGATCAACAAAAATAGAAGGGCTCGTCTTAGTTTAAAGAAGCAGATACTTTGGAGCCTTCTTGTATTTGAATAGGTTTGTTTGTTCCAAGGCCATCCTTTGTATCCGCTTTACTCTGATCGAGATTCGCCTCCACAACAGGCTCACTTCCTACCCCCGGCGGTTTGAGGATATTACCTGCGCAAAATTATTCACATCTTATCAGGTTTTAATTGAAATTACGCGCGGCAGTTATTAAGTGTTGTAATAAGAAATGTCACAAATAATGTAACAAATAGAGTCATATGGTTTCACTACTAGCTTATAGTTTTTCCAGGATTTACAAGTGATTCTGATAGTGTTAGTATAGTGGTAAATAGCATAACCAAATGTTAGATATGAATAAATCAGAGCTAAAACATTACTTACCTATCTTACTGAAGAAAATACCGTAATCCATTCCTTTGTATACGGTTGGTATCACTACCTTATAAGGGCATCGTTTTGAAAATCCAACCTTTTGTCCCGTAGATTGATTTATCGTTTTGTTAAGCTTGTTTACGCAATGCTTGAACTGTATATGGCAGTTAACGTAAGTCATACCTGCAAATACCAAAATTTGAAGAATTTTTTGTTTACAATTTTACATAGTCTATGATCATTAAACACACATATCAAATTATGTCTCCGATTTACACTCAAGATTGGTTTCCATAGAAAAATCATTTAGACAGCAGCTCAAATATTAGCAATAAGTATGAGATATTCTTGATTGGTTTACCTTTTAAACCAACACAAGTGTCATGGGTCATACAACAAACATCAAGATCATCACAAGGTGCCTCTCCGCGACATCCATAGTATCCTATCCCACAATACTTCCCATAGCGAATGGCGACACCTGAAACAGAAAATTCTTAAAGGAAATACACAAGAGATTCTCCACATTCAAAGGAATGCATAAGAACAAAATATCAGTCTTACTGTTGCAATCCTCTTGAATGCAGGTTTTGCTGCATTTCCCCTGCCATTTTGATTCAGCCCATCAGAAAGCAAACAATATAATATCAAGATATTCATGCAGAAATGTGGCTTAGCAAATTTTTGTTCAAATCCGATTTCTAGCACGGTTACGCGGGCGAGGAGGAGAAAATATATTAACCTGGCTGCGAACGGCGAAGAGGAGGAAGCCGGCTAGTCCAAAAATGACAAGTGTCAAAGCACCACCGTGAATCATCTCTCTCTATAGTTTCTGGTTTTGGCTTATGTTTCTCTTCCAATTTTGTGTTCCAAAGTGTAAATGAGTCTCCTTGGAACTTGGAAGATCTCATTGGTCCTCCTATTTTTTAGTCCTCTTCCTCTCCTATGTACCCAACACTTTAAAAATACATTTTTATTCACGACATTTCTGCTACCTCTCGAAAGCAACGAACACGATTAATCAATCAGAGTATTCACATTTCACAACGGCTAAAAGTTTTTAATGAAAATATTAAAGATTGCAAATAAATAAATTTGGTTCGACCTTCGTATCATTAAAGTGAAAGAAACTTCCTGGGAAATTTTGTTATTATTGAGAGTAATCTTATCAAAGAGAGTTTAGCAAAATGGATTTTTCTCAGCTCCAAAGCCTCTGTTTCCGTTTCAGGGAAAAAGTGGGGGAAAAAAAATTGATTCAGAGAGAATCATGAAAACTAAAAACGGAGTAATGGATTACACAATCTTCAAGTCATTGTTCCTCTCTTTCAAGGGTAATAGCCGGTGAAAGTGAATCCTCTGCCGGCGATTTCACCTGCGCAGTACCACGCAAAGCATTCGAGACCAAACAATGCAGCGATTCCAGCATCTTCTACCTTCAGATCTGCTCTGTTCTTCCATAAGTTCTTTGCGTAGTCTAGTTCCTTCCAGAAGGTTTCATAGCGTCCGGGAATGCTGTAATAAGGAGTTGAAGAGTGTTAGCTAATCAAGATTGCAAACTGCAAAAGCCAAAGTCTTAAAACTGTTAACAGAACGACATGCTGTGGTAGATTGGAATCTTGTCTATTAACCAACTTTCAAGATTAAGAAAGGTGACAGGCGCCAAAAAACTGTCATCAAAGCAAGAGAAAATTTGCTGAAAGCTCTTTGTACCCAAAAAAGATGAACCGTAAAATAGTTAACCATAAGGCAGGTCATTCTATCATCTGAGACTTAGTAAACAGGAAAGATTGCTGCAAATTGGCTTACGGAAAGATATAGTATTAATCTAACAACTTAATCTTAACTTAAAATACAATCGTGCAACTTATGATTAAGCAAGACAAATAGCTCAACGAAAAGATAGCATAAACAAACATAGTAAAAGTTAGATTCCAATTTCGATCATAGGGCCACCTAAAGAAGAGGAGACATCAAAGGATTCATAGTATGCCATTTTCAGTTCCTTGAGCAGCCTATATACAGCAATAAGGTTACCATTCTTGATGCAAATCCAAGTTGCAAAGAAGAAAATGAAAAAGGATGGTTTGTTGACCACATGCTAACCAGAATCTAGAACATGGCTGTCTAATTATGACAGGGAAAATGTTCAGAGATACAGAGAGAAGAGAGATAACAACCTAGCGAGGCGGGTGTAGAGCAGTTGCTTAGACAACTCTTGGCACTTCTCGACAGTGGCTGGTTCCTGAATATATTGCTTGTTCTTCTCCAGCAACTGCCTGTAGTAGGAATTTCCATGCTTTGCCACAAACTTTGAAGCCTCACATGCCTTTGATTGAATTTGTACCAACTTCGATGCCATCTTCACAACCAAATCCTTCAAACACAAAAAGAGAATGTAACATGAAGCTACTTTACGAGGAGAAACAGTTCCAAAATACAGTAGCAGGCACCTTCGATTCACACAAACCGAAGTAATCAAATCATGACATTCGAAAAAGCCTTAGATTTCCGTAATGCAGCAAATAAACTCTCTCACGGATGAATAAAAACAATCCGAATCCCCCAAACAGGAATTTCTTCAAAAAAAGGAGAGTTTTCAATCAAATTCACACAATTTAAAGCTACAAAGACAAAAATCTAAACCCCTAATCCTCAATTCTACAACGACAGATCGAACGAGCTCCAGTGTGAATCAACCAAGCACATCAAAAACCCGAAACACGCAGAAACGAAGAATCGCTATAGAAACAGGAACATATCACAGATTCAGATCTAAAAAGTCAACCACAAAAACTAACAATATATACAATGGAAGCAAGAGAAAAACCCTAGAAACCCAATTAAACAAAAAAAAAGGGATAGATTTATAGAACCCAATTGAGAATCAGAAACTTGAAAAGTGCGAGAAACATAACGGTGAGACCGGAAGCTCGCCGTACCTTTCTGCTGCGGTCGGAATGCGGCACCGATGAGCTGAGAGATGAGTTCGATTTGGGGACTCAACACCAACTGCGTTGTAATATCAATACGCTACTTTGTTTTTTTTCCTGTGTTAAAAAGTTAAAACGACGCCATTTTTTGTTCCTTTTGAAACGACGCCGTATTATTCTCTCCCCAAAAGCCAATTTATTTCCGCTGTGTCAAAAAAAACGACGTCGTTATGTTGAAACGACAACGTTTATACGATTAGAACAAAGTATTACAGTTGGAAAATTTCCCAGGAGAGAAAAAAAAAAGAAGCGTATCCATCCCCAAATCGTCATCATCATGTCTTCTCTGATTCCTCCACCGATTCCGATGGAGCTCCACGCCGGAAACCGGAAGAAGCTCCTCGATTCAATACTCCTTCACTTATCTAGTTCCAATCGTCCTCTCCATGGATTCGTATTCCTCCAGGTATTCTCGGCATAATTCCTAAAGCTTATCCATGTTCCGAGCTTAGCTTTCGTCGTCCTTAGCTCATGAGTT